GTGGGCGTGGCCGGCGAGGCGTTGCAAGCGGCGATTGGTTGACTAATAGTTGTCGTTATTATTGGTTTAAATACAGAATTATATTACAAATGATTAGTAATTAAAGCGAAAAAAGAGTGTTTTGTCTAAAGAGTTGCCGAAAGAGTGAATAAATTGATTGAAAGTGAATCGAATGCTAACTGCGACAGTAATGCACGTGTGGGGGCCGTCGGGGGCACTTCTGTGTCTATTGGGGGGGCGGGGGGGCGTCGAGAGGCACGAAATGATTGAATTGTATCTAAATATACGTCTATTATTACAAACGCCGATATGTTCTGTGCATAGATTTGGCGACCAATCAGAGACGCGAACCAAAGCCAACCAATCAGATCTCCGTCTCGGGATTGCGACCGCCCTTCGCCGCGGCGTTCGGCACCGCCCGCGACGGCGACTGCGGGAGAGGAGAGGGTTAGAGGGGAACTGGAGGTCGAGTGCATACCATGATGGAGAGTTTGCGCGGCTGGAGGTGCGCCTGCGAGACGTCGGACATCTCGATCGCGTGCTCGGCGTCCCATTTGTCGAGTTCGGCCTTCGATAAGTGGTAGACGACACCTAAAGGACGACAAGAGACGTCATATTTGGCGCCAAATTCAAACACAAAGAGAGGGTTCGGGAGTGAGAGTCACGTGAGTCTTACGGTTAGTCTGTGCGCGCTTTGCAACAATACAAGTGAGTTAAGTGAGCGAACAATGGGAGCAAAGGGCGAGACTTACCGGCGCCGAACGCGTCGCCCAACACGTTGATAGAAGTGCGGATGCGGTCGCTATGGAGACGCGAAGGGTTAGAGGGGGCGGAGTCAAAGACGGAAACTCTACTCACAGGAACCAATCGACGGCGATGATCATCGAGATGTCTTGCGTGGGAAGTCCGAGCGCCGTGAGCACGAGCAGCATCGTCACGAGGCCGGCCGACGGCACGGACGCGGCGCCGATGGACGCGGCGGTGGCGGTGAGCGACACGATGATGATTTGGCCGATGTTGAAGTCGATGGCGTTCATCTGCGCGATGAAGATGGCGGCCACCGCCTCGTAGAGCGCCGTCCCGTCCATGTTGACGGTGGCGCCCACTGGCAGCACGAACCGCGTCACCTGCGCGACAGAGTGTGGTTAGTGTGGTCTCGACATCTCGACAACTGGAGTCCGGATCTCTCACTCACCCGTTTGTCGATGTGGTTGTTCTCCTCGAGGCAGCGGAAAGTGACGGGAAGCGTTGCGGCGGACGACGCGGTGCCCAACGCCGTGACCCACGCCTGAAGCATTCCGCGGAAGAAGGTGAGCGGGTTCTTGCGCGTCACCGACCAGTAGATGAGCGGCAGAGTGATGACGGCGTGGATGACGAGTCCCGTGATGACCGTCAGCATGTAGAGGCCGAGTTGCTGGGCAACGGAATACATGTCTTTGATGTCGAGGATCTTCTGGATGATGAGCGACGCGATGCCCACCGGCGAGTACCACATGCAGATGACGACCAGACGCATCACGATCTCGTTGAGGATGACGAAGAAGCGGATCATAGTCTCGGCTTCGGCGCCCAATTGGCCGCAAATGATGCCGAAAGCCGTGCAAAACACTATGAGTCCCAAAACGTTGGAGTTTTGCGAATAAGGAAACGAACGAACCATTTGATAGAAATGCGTTTCCGCGAGAAGGGAGCCGTTGGGCGCGCGCCACTCGTGCGTCACGTTGTCCACGCGGTCCCACCGCACGTGCGCTTCTCTTCCCGTGAGGTTGAGGCGCGCGCCGCGCGTCCACTCCGTCTTGACGGACGCGAAGGCCGCCTGCAAGAGGTTCTCGGGGAACATATTGCGCGCCAAGTCGAGCATCGCGTCCAGAGTGGACACCCGAGTGTCTTGCGTGCTCTTGATCTGCGTCATGGCGGCCTCTTTGATGCGCGGGTTTCCCGGATGGATGACGAGCACGAGCACAATGCCGAGCACAGCGGCGAGCATAGTCGTGCCGAAGTAGTAGGCGATGGCGCGCGACCCCATGCGGCCCGAGGAGGCGGCGTCGAGTTGCGCGAGACCCGCGACCAGCGACGACACGATGAGCGGAATGATGAGCATCTTCAGCATCCGCATGAGGAGGTCGCCCGGGAAGCCGATCAGCATTATGAAGTCGTCGTCGTAGTTGGCGTATCGCAGGAGGCACCCGCCCACCAGACCCCCCACCACCGACAGCACTGTCAGCACGAGCAACAGGTTGGCCACGAGCCACGCCCACACGGACTCCGCGAAGGGGCGGTCGGGTTCCGTGAGGCGGACAGTGGTGGGCAGTGGCGGCGCTCCGTGCGCGGCGGCCGACACGAAGGGCGTGCGCGCGTCCGACGAGTCCATCGACGCTTCCATCTCTTGTGGCTTTGGATCAGCTGAAGAGCAGGTGTTGGCGTCTCGTGGGAATCAACGCATTCTTCCACTCAATGGCTTCGACTTCAAGGCTTCACTCAGTAATCAGTGCTTCCGTTCCCACGCGCCACCGAGCAGTCGCCAGTGAAGGGCAAGCGCCGCCCACTCCTCCACTGCGCCACAGCCTTGAGCCGCAGCGGAGCACGCGTTCGACGACTACGACGCCGGTTCGCGTCCCGCAAAGGAAATCGTTTTTTGCTTTTTAGCTTTTATTCACAACAAACTCTACAAATACAGCATTCATTCAATTCATCGGTCGAAACGTCGCCGAAGTCATGCCTTCGAGGAACTCTATATCCGGCCGCCGGTTCCCGTCTTTGCGGGCCGTCAACTGCGCGCACACCCACTCCACGACGGCGCCCACCGACAGGAGGCGTTCGGCGTCGGCGTCGGGCACAGAGAGCGCGAACTCGTCCTCCAAGTGAACGACGCATTCGATGACGTCGAGAGAGTCGAGACCCAAGTCTTGCGTCAAATGCGAGGCGAGAGTCACCTAAAGGGGGTTAAGAGGGCGTCAGAGGAGGCGGAGGAGGCGGGGGTTAGCATTCGTACGGATTTGGCGTCGATTTTGTCGTGTTTTGAGAGACAAGCGATGACTCGTTGTTCGACGTCTTTCGGATCCACTGTCGCGACGGGAGGGCCCCACGAGGGCAGACGGAGGCCGGGGGTGCGGTGGAGGTGTCGGCGCGCGACGACTGGTGTCCTCAGAAGGAGAAGAGAAAGTCTTCTGAAGGGCAGAAATGAAGACATTTTGCGTTCACTTTCGGTTCGCTTTTGCGCCGAAAGATGTCGCGGAAACGAACAAAACTTTTAACAAAACATAGAATTTATTTCAAATCAAAGATTTCGTCGCATTTCGCGCGCGATTCGCGTCTTTCAGGTTGTTTTGAATGCAATTAACTGTCGTCTGATTGGACGCCGCTTTTCGACGCCGTTTTCGCCACAAAAGAAGCGCCGAAAGCGCGACAAACGACACGACGAGCGCCGCGACGAGAGTCCAGAGGAGGCGAACGGACGGCGGGTCGTCTGCGCGCGCGTCCAACGCTCGCAAATAGCGCCGAAGAGCTGAAACGGCCGGCGAGTGGACGACCGCCGAAACGCCGTCTTCCGATTCGTCGCAACAAAAGTCACGTGAGTTCGCGATCAGCGAATGAATGGCGCGAAGAGATTGACAGAAGAGAGGCGTTTGCGGCGAAAGGCGGACAACGAGTCGCGGGTTTGTCGTCTGCTGACGACAAATGGCGTCGTCTGTCGTCTGCGAGCAGTCGTCGCGACACAAGAGACGCGCCTCTGAGTCGCAAACGCAGTGTTTGGCGCAAAGGGAGGCGTTCGGAAGGCGCCAGTAGTGGAGGTCTTGCGAGTGGGCGTCGGCCAGACACGCGCGGGGGTCGAGTTGCGCGCAGAGGGCGCCTCCGAAGGGCTGCGCGCAGACGCAGTGGAAGTGTTTGCGGAGATCGAGACATTGGCCGCCATTAAGACACGTGACGTCTCGGCAGTCGTCGACTTCTGTTTCGCAGTGTTTGCCTTCGAAGCCTATTGGAGGAGAAAGAAGACGTTTTGGAGACCGGAAATGGACAGCGATTCGCTCACCGTCTTCGCACTCGCACTCGAAAGCGCCGGCGGTGTTGCGACAGCGCGTGGAGTGGACGCACGGCGAGAGCGCGCACTCGTCCACGTCCTCGTCGCAGAGCGCGCCCCGCCATCCCGGCGCGCACTGACAACGGAAGGCATTGCGGAGGTCGTGACACGTGGCGCCATTAAGACACGGAGCGGACAAACACTCGTTTCGGTCGCGTTCGCAGCGCTGGCCGTCGAAGCCGTCTGCGCAGTCGCAGTGGAAGTGAGAGCCGTTCAGCGGACGACAGACGCCGTCGTGGAGACAGGGCTGCAGTGCGCATGCGTTCACAATCGTCTGACAGTTGAGGCCTTCGAAGCCGTCTTTGCATTGACACCTGTTTTGGCGCGAGAAGAGGTCAGAGCGGAAGCGGTCGCAGAAGAACTCACCGGTAGTGGTCGGGCGCCGCGTTCTGACACTGACCGCCGTTGAGACACGGGTCGTGAGTGCCGCAGAAGTCGAGGTTTTGGTCGCAGAGAATTCCGCCCCAATTTCGGTGACAAATGCACTGAAAAGGCGCCAAACAGTAGCCGTGAAGACATCCGGGGTATTCGTGGCAGAGGTCGCAGTGCGCGCCTTTCCATCCCTTACGACAAACGCATTCTTCGGGCGCTTCGCAAAAGCCGTGCTTTTCGTTGCAATCCTTCCGACAAACGGCTGTCAATGACGTCATCGAAGCGTCAGAAGAGTTCAACAATGCGTTCAATACTCACGAGAGTCGCAGTTCTCTCCTCTCCAACCCTTTAAACACTCTTTTCGTCCGTTTTTTTCGCACAAATAGTGACCAAAAGTGTCGTTTCGTTGGCGACAAAAAGCCGCGCAATCCGAGCCATAGTAGTGGTCGTCGCACCGCACGCGCCATCGCAGCTCTCGGGAGGCCAGGGGGCGGGCGGTCCAGTGGTCGGAGGGCTGCGCGGAGGGCTCCTGGAGACGCAAAGGGGGAGCGATGTCGTCATCGAAGGCGACGACCAATGAAAAGGCGCGCTTTGGGAGAAAAGCGACATTTGGTTCAAATCTCTCGAGAATCGCAATCTGTCGCGGAATGCGTGTTGAGTCACGCGAACGCACGCATTGTTGGCGACAGACTTGAGAAGACTTTCGGAAAGTTTGAGAAACTTTGGGAAACTTTCAAAAGAAACTTACGGTCCATCGAAAGGAAAAAGCGATGGAAACGGAGTTCTCGTTTTGGACGTGTTTTCGGCCGAAAGTGCAGTCATTGGCCGCCAGAGAGGCGTTCCGTTCGGCGAAAACGGCCGACACTTCGCGCAAACACACTGTGGCCGAGACGGGCGTCG